CGGCGAGAATAGGGCCAAAGCTTTCCTTTTTCCCTCGCACCAACGACGATCCACAATGGACCCGTAGATCCTAGCCCGCGCAGTATTTACGCACGATCGATCGAAGAAAGGGATCCGACACGTCGGACCGAAAGTTAGTCGGGCTCGCCCCTAACGTGGGACTGGTTTAAGACTTAAGGTGTTTAGAGCGCAGGAATTCGAGGGTCGTCGAACGCATTATTTTTTAATGCAGAACAATAAAATTTTTCTATCGGTGTTGGGAACTTCCTGGTGCTGGTTCCCAGATAACAGAAAATTCAGTTACACTAACGGTGTTGTAACGGAGTTGTTTTTTTCTGTGTGTGTGTGGGTCAGCCATTTATTTCGTGTTACACGTAAGAATAATTTTTATGCTGAAGAATCTTATTAAAATATATTCAGCAATTTTGGGAATCTCTGTGTGGCTTGAATGAATTTAACTAATTTTAAATTAATTATTTGGATTAATTAGATTATATAGAATTTTAGAGATTACTCGCGGTATTTCTCTCATCGGGTCCTTTTAAGAAACGGATTAAAATTGGAAGAGACGGAGCGTCTCAGGCAGTCTAGACTCTTAAGTCTCGTAGATCTCGTAAAATGTATGGGTCCGGTCTTTGAACGAAAATTCGTCGAGCCCTAACGAAGGATAATTGCCGGCCACGCTGGGAATAATTGCAGGCGACAAATAATCGACAGGAGCTCGCGCGATCGCGCCTCTTCGGGCACTTTGCATACACGCTTGAAACTTTCGGGACTTTTGCGCACGTCGTAAAATCTCGTAGAATCGCGGCACGGCAATTTCGCGCCGTTTAGAGTCTCTCGCACGGTTAGAATCCTTAGCAAAACTATCGTTAAACTTTAAAAACCGTAATAACGCGTAGAACCCACTCGAGGGAAATGGTGGTAAGTGCACGGTTCTTTCGAACTTTCAAACGACCGCCGTTAAAAGTCAACCGGCCGTCTAAGCGAATTGTAATCCCGCACGATACAATTAGTCGAAGGGTCATTATTACCTGCGTTACGCAAAGCCCTTATTAAAATTGAAGCCAATGAAATAGATGTACGACGCAACGAAACGACTCTTCTCATGGGAATTTCTTTAATATCATATATTTTAGATAATAACACTATATACGAATAACAAATTCCTTTTTGTCGTATTTTCTTCCGAGCAAGTATCGAAACGAAGTACACATTCTCAAGATACTCCGTCGAGTTTAGATTTTTAATTAATGAGGAACGTTTTCAGAGAAATTAATAAAATAAGGAAACATTCCTACATTATGTAGAACTAGTATGTTACTTATGTATATCTAATCAGTTCCTCTCATCGACGCAAAGTGTTCTATAATCCGACGTGTACATCCCTATCAAACGCGACACCGATCATTTGTTTTATCTCTTACATTAATCATTATCGCTATTATTATCACCATTATTGCTATTATTGCTACCGATATCATTCATCTTGCTATTTTATCTATTGAATAGTATTAGTATTTACAAGCCAACTACAGAAGTAATTATTATCGAGAAAAAAATAATATTGTTTTAATTTCTTGGAATAAAACCTCATTCAAAACGCATAAAAATTCACTCGAAGCGACAATGAAAATACTGTTACTCGAAAACATAAGGGTGTGTGCTTAACTCAAACTTGGAGTGGATTTTTAATTCATACTAATAAATGTTTCAATTAATTAGAGTGAATTGTCTCTGTGAAGGTAAAGAGTGTTAAATTCACTTTTTCGTAACCGAACACCTCTCATATCAGTTAACGCAAGTGACTGCACTAATTTCTTTATAAATACTTTTATTCTTCTTAATGTCCCTGAGAGAAGAGAGGGAGACGGAACTTAAGCGCGTACTCTTCGAAGATGACCCTTCGTGAGCGCATAATCGCGCGTTCGCCGAAGAAACACGCTTTGCGTGGGCGCGATACTCATATGAGTTCCCCTCGTTCCTCGGGACCTTTTCGGCGATCTCTTCCGTGGGGATCGGGGTCTCGATGGGCGGTCGAAAAGGACCGATAGATGAAGGCAGCGAGGGAACGGACGGGAAATAAGAAACGAACGGTGAGGGAGGAAGGAGTTCCGACGAGAAGCACGAAATAAACCGGACATCGTGGAAGAGAACCCTCAAGAAGAGTGGTGCAGGTAGCTGGCGCAAACCAGTTTTACCTGTTATATCCTCTGTCCGGCTTATATGTGAGCACCGCCGCCAATTCCTATGGTGATCGTGGTCCGATGCTGATGATCACGGTGTTTGGCGCGCTTTTTTTCCAAGAATACTTGGGCGCTTCGCGGCGAACGTTGTTTTTAACCGCCTCGTCCTCTCGATGACGAACCCTCCTCCTTCACATCCTTCGGTGTTCGTCGTTTCCTTCGCGAGGAGTACAGGAGATGGGAGGAATTTGAGATAGGTTAGACACCTCCCCAAGAGACCCTCACGTGTAATCTCACATCTTTGAGATAAAAAAAGATGTCACAAATGAGAGACGCAATTAAAAAATTAACAGGAATAAAAGGAACGAAAAGGTGGTGAAAATCAACGACAATACAGAATCGAAGAACTCTTCAACGTGAAGGATCGCACATACTTGATTTCCTAAAGAGATTCAAATTATGTACTAATACACTGAGAGAAAAAATGGAAACTTGTTTGTTTAAAACTCATTTATCGTTCACATCAACTCTTAAGATGTTTGGTTGAGTGACATTTTTTCATGATAATTCGAAACGTTCATTCTCGGATTAACAGTAACTTCTCGCTTAAAATTTATTATCTATCTTCGAGGAACTTTCCGCATGAAAGTGAAAGAAATAACAACGAAGACCAAACGACCGATAATATCCACTTGAAACGAAAATTAGGCTTGTTATCGTGGCAAGGTCAGGGTTTAACGAAGATTAAACAGTACCAAACCACACATTTCGTTCCATTTCCGTATGAATATAAAATTTACTTCGATGAATGGCAAGTTTTTTGTTCATATAAATATTTCATGATTTATTTTTATAGTAATAGATCTCATAAAATGTATTTTTCGTGAACTCATTCCTTCTTTACCATAGTTTAAAATTTATAAACTATTTTTGCTCCAATTCTCAACTAAAGAATTTAAGAATTACATTACAATTAACCAATAAAATCAATTAAAACTTGAAAATTTAGTTAAATATTCAATTAATTAAAATAAAATCACTTTTAAATTTTTTTTAATTCGATCATGTAAATTTTATTAATCGCTATATTTGTTAACAATTTTTTGTTATAAAATTCAATAGAAAGAAGATGAAAATTAATATAACTATGCCATGTGGTTGATGTATTTTGGCCACTTTTCGCATTTTGCCGCGAACAAAATAATGAAAAGAGCGGTGGTGATAGCAAGATTGATATGTAGAGGAGGAAGAAAGAAAACTTGTTTGCTCTAAATTATGATGAATTGACGAATTTGACCGGATTAACAACAACATTGTGTATCTTTCTTTGCTTTTTAAATATCGTTCTCTACTGTCTGTGGTAAATGCGGGTTGAATGTGTAAGAATGAGTACAAATAATGAATATGAAAATCGTAGATAAAATCTGAAAAAATTACTCAGTAAAAATGCTTTTGCATTTCTACCAAAATTTTGATTCCCTCGTTCCTACATATCGTTATCGTTTTTCTATAAGCTATTACATTGAATAACAAGAACAAACAAAAAATTTCTTTCTACGATTCAACATCGTTTAAAACTGCACGAGATGACGCGTTTCGTTGTATAGCAAACGGATAGAGGAACCGGTTATTGACAGTGCTTTTGCATATCATGTAAATAACATAGCAAATAAAGTATGAAAAAATGCGATCGTTAGGTATAAGAAATTTAAATGAGCGCGATTTAGAACCGTTCCTAGTAATGATTTCCTGCGATATCTTTGGGACATTCCATGATTTTTACCTCGAAACGAGTTATTGGCGCAAGGCGCCAGGAAAAAGAGCGATACCTATGTACCTAAATTTGTATTTTCGCTGTTGATGCAGCGATCGACTTTGATCGCGAAACGCCTGAAGCACTATATTTCGGCTGTAGATCACTATCAGTTTACGTAAGATGAATTTTAGATACAGTTCATTAATAACACAACTTGCTCAGTGGTAAGCGAAAATCAAGATATCATTTTTGTTTTTTCGCCTTCGAAAGAGTTATCACATTTCTTGTGACGTAAAAGATTATACGATTCATTTACGTTCATGTTATTCTAGAAAATCAATTCATGATACCATGAGATTGTAGAATCCATCTGACGTAATGGTTTGTTATTGCCAATCATTCTGTGATTATTAGATTCGATTACTTCCCGTCCGATTAAGCATCTTATCGCACGATTAGTTAGCAAATTTTTTTGCTATACCACTGTTCGCAGCTGCGTATAAACATTTTAAAAAAATAAGTCCTCCATAAACGTTTTATTTATTTGCACGTACACAATACTACGGATATCGATAATGATTGGATAACTCAATAATGTTATGTACATACGTAATTAAACTACGCTGATACAATGCTTTTCTATAATTCAGTTATTATATATAACAGAATGTAGAAAAGCTTATGCTGATAAGCTTTCATATTCATTCAATTTGTTGACACAAAATTAACATAAAACATTGAAAAATACACAATGAAAAATCATACATTTATGAAGAACACATCATACATTTATATAGTTCCATTGAGCATTGAGTAAATTAAATAAAATTAAATTAAAAAATCCCACAGTTGTACAAAGATTTATTATTTCATTAATATGTGGGAGTAATTTAACTAAATATTGCCAAGTGGATGCTATTGTAACGTTAATAGATTAATGTTATTATGTTGTTATAAACTGTTTTTATGTTATTACTTAACTAAGTTCAACAAATTGAGCAATTGCTTCAGATCTACATTTACGAGGGATGTATTAACAAGAAGAGTTTATATCTTACCTTGTTTTTAGTAACTTCATACTTTTTCATAGACGTATAGTATGAACATTTGAAACTTTGAGTCTAGCTTCTGATGTGTCAAAGCATTATCATAACTTCAGTGGGATCGAATAGTATGGACACTTTTCCTGAAAATATATAAATTCAAGTTTAACTTTGGATTAAGTGATACATTTTAAAAAATTAGCAAAAGAAAGAGATAAAGAGATAAATATTTTTATTATTAAGTTAAAGATATATTAATATTTCATTATGCAATGTGTATATGTCATGGTTATGTATTGACCATTATATACTATCTATTAAATATTTGAATCCTTATTATATTATCATTATTCAATTCTTAAGATGAATAAAATCTGTAGATTGCTCTGAAAATGGATATTGAACAATATCCAGAAAAACGAAAATAAACGACTCGCTCATTGTTAATCATAAAACATTATCATTCTCTTGATCAAAATATTAAGCACGTTATCAATGGTGCAATTTTTACAGTCTATACGTCACTTACTATACATAAATTTTTATCATATTCTTAATAAAATTAGTCAAATTCGCATTCTTTGTATTAATCTCATACAAACTTGTCATGAACGTTTCGGTTAAGAGTCGATTGGAAAGTTAAAAACGTTACGTTAGCAATCAAGCATTTACAAGATGTACGACGCTGGACGTCGATAGCTTTTCTCACTTACCCATATCTGACGCGGAGAATCTTTCTCGTAAACCAAGCGTCTACTTGTGAGCATAGAAATCACACGATCTGTCGAAACCGTCAATGGGAACTTGCAGCCTCACACATCGATGCCCGGTCAACGCAAACGTATGATTCGTTTGAATCCTGATGTGAACATAGTTGCGCGTCGTTTTCGCGAGAATCACGACGTACTCACAAGTAGATCAATAACCTAAAATCAACTTTACATTAGACAAAGACGTAAATCAGGCGCACCTTGTAGGCAGTCGCCGTGGCTTATGCACGGCGCTACTAATGTCTCTTAGTTCCGATTACTTTCGAATGGAACATTTATTTCGATATTCATGTATCTATATAACTGTGATTAAAGACATAAAAATTCTACTTTTTTTTTTACAGTTTAGCGACTTACATGCCTGTATTCATAGTCAGGCCTTATATTTAAGATATCCTTAAGTTCATTTTTAGATGCTCATTTTATTGGATCATTTTATTGGCTACAGAGTATCTGAAAATGAATTTAAGGAAGCCTTAAATATAAGGCCTGACTATGAATACGGGCAACAGGGTCTTCAGCCTCTCTTGTGCTCTATGACACGCTATCTACTTTTCCAAACTTCCCTCTCTCCTCTTTAACCATTTATTTTAACTAACAGTCTTAAATCTTTTTTTCCCGACCACACGGATAATCAGAAAAATTTATAGATTATAATCTAACGCGTTCTCCACAACGCGAATTCATCAACTTTTTATTATTAATTATTCGAGGTTGACACGTACACGCGCATGATTATCTAAATACGATCGATACATGCGTAATTAAAGGGAAATCAGAATAACTGTGATGGATCGTTTATCGTGTTGAGTCTATAGAATTCTTAAACTCTAATGTTTCGAATACATAGATCTTTTACCTGATAGCCGATAGGCAATTGACAAGCTCGGCTTGTTATAGATCCAATATTAGTCTGAGGCATAAGAAAGAAGACGAAAATTTACCGTAACGTTATTTCCGAAGTAGCCCCGGCTACTTCCATCATGCTGTTCTACGTTGCTCACAAGTGGAAACGATCGTCCGGGGTTAACTCGACGACAATCATGATCACGATTACGAGGAAGCTACGAGGAAGTCGGCGAGTCTCCCTCCTCTTTCTCCCTCTGTTGCCGCTCTGTACCGCCAACTTTGCGGCGATTTCCCCACTCGACCGCCGTGACTGCGATTCGATTATTTCCGTCGGTGCCGCCGCTCGCGCGCCAAAGGTGACGCGCGATTCGTTGCCGGCAGCCGCCAATGACTGTCGACTGATACCACTTGTTGGCAGTGGCGGATTCAGAGACTTCGCATTTGGGGGTAAGTTTGTTGGTTATACCACTTGACTCCTAGGGGGGAAGAACCACTAGAAAAGTTTAATCACTAAAATCTTTACAATGTGTGACACACTTCGATTTCGATTCGACTTATCTTTTATATCGAACTCTTAATGTAACATTGCCGAAAGTTCCGCGGAACGCGATTACTTTTTGCGAAGAAAAGAAAATTGTCGCTCCCGTTCAATCTCTTTACGCCCTCCTGTCGCGCGGACTATCGTTCCTACATCATATAAGAAGCAACAGATTTATCACTTACAACGATTTAATTGCATCTCGTAACAGATTATGTTCGATACACACGATATCACTGATCGCGTATCGCCAAGCTGATTTTCAAAAGAAATATCGCCTACACACGAAATATGAAAATAGTGTGTGAAGTAAAAACAAACGTACGCTATACAAAGACAAAAATGTGAGGAAAATTTTCGAGGATGGAAAGGCTCCGTTTCCCCGCTGTTCGTGGATCCGCGCCTGCCTATCGCTCTCGATTTGCGTTGCGCTGTCTCACTCGCGCGCATGAGAGACGCGCGGTGGGGGAACGGGAGTAACATCTGGGGGAAGGCAGAAAGGAGGAGGTCTGGTGGCAACACTTCCCCGGCACTTCCTACAGCGGCTTTGCGTCCGTGAGTTCAGTTCAGCTCAGTCGCTCGCCGACCTCGAGACGTGATTGGTGTTTTTCGCGATCAAGCTGCAGCTGTGTGTGCCGCAGTCGCGCCGCAATTGCCATTGCTCGACGAGCACTAGCGACGCGCGAGCGATTCGCTGTTATCGCTTCCGCGAAGCGGATCTTTGCGCAAGAGTCGCGTTGTCGCGCTCCGAACTTTGCGCACGTCCGCGTCAAATTGTCGCCTTCGTCGTCGTCGTCGCCGCTGTCGCAGCCGCCGTCGCTGACGTCGTCGTCTTCATCGTCGTCGTCGTCGTCGTCGTCGTCGTCGTCGTCGTCGTCGAGAAGCAAGTGACAAGGAGTCAAAAGGACCAAAGTGACACACAAGTGCGAGCATAAACTGCTTCTTCTCGGGAGTGCTATGACCGAGAATTCTCTGCCGTTCTGCTGTGATACATGATTGGCGCGCGAGCCCGCCGATAATTCGCGCTGCCAACATAATTCCTCTCACGTGTTCGCGTCGTCGCGGCGAAAAGTTCGCTCTGTGGACAGCCGCTCTCTTTCTAACTCTCTCCCACCCCCTCCTCTCCCTCCTCTCGCGGATGCCGCCCACCACGACCTGATTACACGCGCGCGTGTCGCCCCGTGCGTGCGTGCATGCCCGCGACACACGAGGAGAAACGGGATCGGCGATTCATCATCGCCCGATGAACGGTTTGTGTCCCGATTATCATTGGACGGCGACCAGTGACCAGTGACATTGACAGCTGCCCGGTCAGTGACATTGACAGCCGCTCGGCCTGCCGACGAGGATTTTACTCGCGAGAAGCAGCCGACATCGAGCGGAGTCGTGCGGAGCAGACAGTGATCGAGGTAATTGCCCGCGAGGTTTTCCCGCATCTCGTATGTTGCATGTTGTTACGGGGAATTCGCCGCTCGCGCGACGAGCCACGTCGACGACGTTTGCGGTGTGTATTGTGTGTATGCGTGCACACCCCACACGCGGGAGCGTGCGTGTGTTCGTCGCGTGCATATCCGTTGCGCGCGCACTTCCGATTCTCCGCTGTAAACAAACCGTAGCGAACGTCGTCGTCGTCGTCGTCGTCGTCGTCGTCGTCGTCGTCGTCGTCGTCGTCGTCGTCGTCGTCGTCGTCGTCATCGTCGTCGTCGTCGTCGTCGTGGTAGTGGTGGTGGTGGTGGTGGTGGTAGTGGTGGTGGTGTTCGTCGCGTCGAACGTCGTTTTCCTCTCCTGCGGCGTTACCGAGTCCCACGCGTTTCGCGAACTGCGTATTCCGCATACGATCTTGAAAAGCAAGATTTATCAAAATTTATTGCCGCTTGCCGTTTTATCGCCGTCTCGGCGACGGGCGAACGTTGCTCCAATTTCACGCGAACACTGCGCGTTCGGAGACCGGATTTTCCTTTCTGCGCTCTCGCATTCGGAATCGAACGATTCTCGATCGATTTTTCGCTGTTTCGGCTTACGTAATCTCCCGCGGGAGTTCGCGGCATCCGAAATGCGCTGTTATTCCGTCCAGTGTTGTTTACATTAGTGTTAAATATCACGGCACTCAATACGCACTCGACGCAAAGTCAGTTGTTTTTTCAGTTTTTACCCGTGCAAGCTATGGTACACCCCGTATTTTTTACTTACTGCTACTTACACTTGTCAAATCAAAGCACATCATTACGTCTCGTCCGCAATCATACGCAAACATACGCAAACATACGCGATTAAGAGAATCAACAGATTGGAGGAAACACAGCGCGTTTACTTGGTGAGCAGTGCACAAAATTATCGATTTATCTTAGTCGTATAATAATTCTCCTTTACATTTGCAAATTCATCAAGTTCGCGAATCAGTTCTCGCGCGACTTAACAGTCGATAAGACGTTTTTCCGCGCCTCGTCTTCGTAATATCGCGCTTTATTCAGCTTATTCTTTTACTATCCTCGCGCGCATCCATTAAATTCGCACGCGAAAGGTCATCAGCGATCCAAGTCGGTCGATTTTCGTTCTCCCTCGCGTTGCCCCGCGCGAAAGATTCGGAGCGGATCGCGGCTCGTTACGATCCGCGTACGAGAATACGAGCAGTTGATTCCGGCTCGATGCGATACGCGGAACCCGGAAATCCGCCGAAAGCCCGGCCTCGCTTTAATCCGCTCAGCAATGTTAATAAACGGTCGCATGGAATTCAATTAACGCGAGCCGCTGACGTCATCGCGACTTTGTTGTCGCGGCACATCGACAAGTGGAGGACTAACGCGGCGCCGCTCGTCTTCAGATAGCGCAAAGTCGACCCGTGTCGAATATCGTCGAGCATCGCGCGAAAAGAAGCGATCCCGCGCGACTTTCTCCTGCAACAAACGAATTTGCTTGTTCCTTCGAAATTTGAAGATTCTTGCGATTAAGTTTCTTTAGAATCTAAAAATAGCAGGTATAAAACAAAAATGAAATAATTCACAAGAATTTATGAGAGTCAATACGTAGGTATTATAGTGTAATAAAAATACAGAAATAACTTCTAGATAGTCAAGAAATAAAATATATTATTGAAATCATTCGTTTCGGTTCTATTTTTCGGCTCATCCCTACAATGATGAATATTTAGAACGTAAACACTCATAAAAATTATTACTGTGTAGATCAATAATCGAGAAAAAGTCAAATAAACGAGACAAGACAACAATTGTCTCAGTTTCTAATTTACCTGCGGTTTTATTTCAAAATAACGGTAATCTTATCTTATTATGATTATTTAAATTAACGAGAGAGAAATCTTTCAATTGCTGTCTCGCTTATTTGACTATGATCTCTCAAGTCGACGACAAACAACCCACAATTTGATTTCTGTTGATAAAAGGTCGAATTTTGAAAAACTGTTTTTTTACTCTCATGGGCTTTTGAATTATTTGATTGGACATCAAAGAGTCTTATAAACATATTTATAAAAAAGAAAAAGGATGATAACTGTATTTGGTAATTTTTAATATTACCAAAGCCTTATATTTTTAATATTACGATACTTGCCTTATATTTTTAATATTACAATACTCGCCTTATCCCGCGAGTATCGAATGTAAAATGCTAATTGGTTTTATTGGTAATTTTGCGGCGGCCTTAAATGAGCGCCGCAATTGTATATAATTAGCTGTAGTTATGTAAGCTACTATTATATTTAACTCGTGGCGATAGTTAAGATGCTTAAGCTACATTTCAGGCAGCTAAAAATACCTGAAATACCTGGATCGTAGTACGCTTCTACCTATCAAACGGAATAATTTTTGCGCTATCGTACAAGTATAGCTTGCGTCCCTAAAAATTTATTCGAAGATATGAGTCGTTCATATCCCCAGGCAGAGAACATATTTGTGATCTACATTCGACTAAATCTATATTCGACTAAACGATTATTATTTTCACACATCTTGCTGCGCACGTTATGCAGATACGAGCGAATATTAAAACGTGTTTTGTCGGTGTTTTCTCGGTATAATTTAAACACAACTAGCTCATCTATCTACAAGTGCTCGCAAAAATTCAAATTCAAATTCGGAAACCACTACGTAGCAGTGATCGCAGTGTCGTATCGACACGCGGAAGTAAGGCGTTCAAATATCTCACGAGTGTGGTAATGTTCGAACATAACCTTATCGCTCGAAAATCGACTAGCATTTAAATAAGCCTTCGGCCGCTGTCTGCCAGAACGATAATAACGACGTCGACGACAATGACGATGACGACGACAACGACGACGACGTAAACACGAAAGCGCCTACACGCGTCTCTTCTCGACAGATCGATGGGATCTAACATGTACCTTGCCGTATACGGAAACGTTTACGTAAACCAGCCCGGTAGGAACCGCTCGTATTTCTTAATCGTTATTAAGGAAGTTGCGCGTTATCATTTACATAACGCGAGCGAGCGAGCGAGCCTGGACGAGCTCGCGCGCGTAATACCTGCTTGCGGCTTTCGCAAGATTTCCGTGAGTTTCGCGCAGCCGCCGCACACTGTGACAAACGAGTGAACTGAGGACAAATGATTCTTATTTCATGAAACCCACACTTTGGACGGTCTGTGATTTGCGGTAGGATTTGAAATGGAATTTTCTACTTGAAAAAGAAAAACATTTGAAATATCCGAATGACACTTGAAGATACGTGCGAAGACATCTTGAAATGTCGTAAGGAGATTTTCCAATGTTTTCTCACATGACACAACGAGAAAAATCGTTTAGAGTGAGCTTTCGATTGCTTCTAATTTACAGTTGCATGTCCAATCAGTTCGATTTAAACTGATTACTCTCTGAAAATTGATCCAAGGATAAATTGGGCTTTAGTGGCGCGCGAAGCTGTTACTTTTCTCCCAGCTTTTCTCTAAACTGAAGACATTTTCCATGTTACGCGCTGTTACGCCGGGGATGAGAGTAGCTTTATCTTTCAAATTTTCCGAGGAACATTTCATACGGTGTTATCTCGAAGGTCGAAGATCGAAATCGATATAGTATCGATGTAGTTTCAGCGTGAGCTCAATTTCCGTTACTGTCGCTACACGCACGGAAGGATCTTGCGCCACCGTTCGTGCCGTCGCTGTTGTTACAGATATAAACGAGGCGATCATCTACGCGTGCCTGTGGCGTCGGAGTCTGAACTCGTATGACATTAT